TTTTTTAATACTTCTGTACTTTTTTTTCAAATATACTCTACAAAAGTTGTTTTTTCATAACCTTTTTTTTTTTTTTTTTCTTTTTTTTGGTGTTTTTTTTTTTTTTTTTTTTTTTTTATTTATTTTTTTTTTTTTTTTTTCTTTTTTTTTTTGTTTTTTAAATTATTGTTTTTTTTTTTTGAATTACAGCTGTTTTGAAAAATAGTGGGACATGTGATGAAATTTTTGATGATCGTCAGTGGATTTTCAGTAATTATTATTACCGAAAATTTTTTGCGGGTATCGGTAATTATGTTTTTCGGCTGTAACACAATTTTCAGTATATTTATTGGGTGCGACAAAACAATTTAGTAACATGAACACAATGTCACAACATTTACCTTTACTTCGTTATCATTCTAATGCTTGTCCTATCTGCTTTGTATGTTTTGTATGCTTGAAAGTCTATGGTGAAGATTGTCTTTGTCAACCTATAGAGCTTTGTCGAAAAAGCAAGAAGGGTAGTGAATATCAACTAGCTTTTCGTAATAAACATATTACACGTACCGGAGCTAATAAACAGAAAAAAAAATATGATCAAGAGTTCGTGGATTGGTTCCAAAACAATATATCTAAAGTTGATATTTCAATGCAAAATTTTGTTAATATTTGCTTGAAATGTCTTAAAGAATATAAAACTGGTAAAGTTTTTTTTATTTGTAATTTATTGTACATTATAACTATCATTATAATTATATTTATATAATTTTAGATCAAAAAGAAAGTCAACATGAATTAAATGAAAATATTAACCCTATAGATGAATCCATTAAAACTATAGATTTAACAACTGAACAACTTCCAGATTGTTCTTTTATACCAAAATTTTCTGAATCATCTAACTTACCTATTATTGATAAAATAGTTGAAGTAGAAGTTCCTGTAACAATAGAAGTTCCCATAACAAAAACACCAGATGGTAATAAAATATAATAAATATACCTGTATTTGATATATTTTATATACAGTATAATATTTTAATTTGATTTATTTATTATAATTGTTTATTGTATATAGTATTTATTACATTAGTGTGTTATAATAAATTTGAAAAACTTCATAAAAAGTTAGATGGCGCATTGGCTATTCCATTTAATCCTGATAATATAAAGACTTTTGGCAATATTGAAGAAAAAATTTTGTCACGTACACGACCTAAACAATGGGGCAAAATTGAACTTGGCCGTATTTGTTATCAGATTTCAAGTACTTCTAAAGCAGATCACTATGATTTAAAGTCTGATGTTGCTATTATGGCATTTGTTGCTGAGATAAAGTGTAAAAAAAATTTACAATTATGTGTTTATCAAGAACCAAAAAATAAAAATACACACAATCGCTTAAATGAGGATGAAGAATCAAACCAATTAAATAAAAGAATTCGTGTAAGTTATTTTTTATATATTTAAATTAATTAATAATTATAAAATTAAATTATATTTATTTAAATTATTAGACACTTGAAACAGATTCAAATACTCTAAACACTTTAAATACTATTAAAAAAAATATTTACAATAATCTTCTAGCTTGTTCTATACATATTCAAGGATGTTTAATTTCAGAGGATGGTCAGCATTTAAAGTTAGATAGCGAAGCAATAACATTATGGGCGCATGCAATTGTAAGTTATTAGTAATTATAATAGATTATTATAAATTAAAATATCAATTATTTTTATAAAAAGCTTACTAAGATGAAAGGTGCTGATGAAAGAACTCCTCCAAATTCACCATTGTTTGATAAATCTAAATATCGATACCCAACATCAAATCATCCTTTAAGTAATACAAATGTAATACCTAACAGTATATGTATAATTTAATAATTTATGTTTATTACATGTATTTGTCATCGATATCATGAAACATCCTGAATCAGTCTCAATATCATGCATCATTGTGGCTATGCCACAATACTGCATAATATCTCAGCTGACCTGTGGTGTTTAATGATATCTATGATAAAATGTGAAATAACTATTACAAATTAATTTATTAATTAATATTTTATATTTATAAAAATTTTATTAGAAAATGTTATTACATTACCTATATTGCCTATAGAAATTACATCAATACTTCGATCTGTTACAGTTCATACCAAAAAAAAATCACTATTCAAAGCAAATATTCATATTACAAAAGATATGACTTTTCAAGACTTGCTTACTTTTATATTTCCTAGTGGTCCGCCGAATGGAAAACGATTTGTTATTAAATCTTCATTAGAATTAGATGGAAAAAGTTTTTTACCTGATCAAATAATGAGTCAAATATTTGTAGAAGAACATGCACATATTTGGATAGAAATTGAAGATACTGAAATTAGATTCGATGATTTGTTTGATTAGTATGTTATTATAATTAATCAAATTAATTCATTAAAATAAATAGATTATAGATGTTCTCAAACCATAATTCTAATATAATTAACAAGTTAGAAATCTGATCTAGTTAAAACAATTAGTATTCAAATATTTAGAGATCTGATCCGAATATCCAAATGAATATTCATTGAATATCATAATGATTAGTAGTTTGTGACTTTCTAATTACTTTTTATTTTACTTTTTTATAAGTGAACACACGAAATCCATAGGTAAGACTTCTACACTTTCTTTAGTAGTTTATAAGAAACTATATTATTTATAGCTAAATTGCACTTTTTGTTTATTAGTCGATTCTAAACAATTGGTGCCAGATATGCGACATTCAAAAAACAATACAAGTAGAAATAAGGATATCGACAATTGCATTCAAGAATTTCAACTTAGAGTGATTTTAGTTAACAATTAACAATATTCATTGAATGTCATAGTGATTAGTTGGGGTGGCAATCAATTAATCAACAATTACTTCACCGACATAACATTTCACTGACAATTATTCACCGACACGTTCACTTTACCGACAGTTTATTTCACCGAAGCTCATTTCACCGACAAAGTAATTCTGGTCATTGTCATTAGGGTCAGGGTAGAATTAGGTAGAATTAGGGCTAAAGTTAGGGTGCTTTTTGAAAAAAAACTTGTCAGTGAAATGAACTTCGGTAAAACAAACTGTCGGTAAAATGAACTTGTCGGTGAGTATTTGTCAGTAAAATGTTATGTTGGTGAAGTGATTGTCGGCGAAATAATACGAACCCGATTAGTTGTTTGTGAATCTCTGATTACTTTTTATTTTACTTTTTTATAAGTAAATACGCAAAACCCATAGATAAGACTTTTACACTTTCTGTAATAGTTTAAGAAACTATATTATTTATAGCTAAATTGCACTTTTTGTTTGTTAGTCGATTCTAATCAATTGGTGCCAAACATGCGATGCTCAAAAAACAACACAAGTAGAAATAAGAATGTCAACAATTACATTCAAGAATTTCAACTTAGAGTGACTTTAGTTAATATAATAATCAACTAAAGTTGACTAGTTGATTAATATAGTAAATATTTTATAAGTACAAATTATCATGGTATATAATTATCAGATCTATATCATGAATAGAAATGTTGATCCTAGTAAGGACATCCAGGAGGAGTTGAAGCGTAAGGTAAAATAATTTTTTATAGTTGATTTTATGTCTTGATAGATGTCTTAATTGAATGCTATACAATTATATTAAATTGACCAAATGATGCGTAGCACTTACAGAGAAAAAGTGCATATAATGTGCATTTATAAAAATTGCACTTATGGAGAATTAATTGTATATACTAGCATATAATAATGTATTTGAAATTTTATTTTCAAGCTAGTATTCTAAATTTTAAATTATAAAAAAATTCAATTTCTGTATAATGTACAGATTTAGAATTAGTCCAACTGTTAATAAATTATAATTGAAACTATAATAATTAAGTGTCTTAAAATGCTTTATAGTAGTGCTTCTACGGACTGTACTCAAACCAGACTTTAGTCAAGTCTGAGTCTGGTCTGATTTTCAGACCGGACTCGGACTTTTATATTCAGACTTTTTAGTCAAGTCTGAGTTTGGTCTGGGTCTTGTCTAAAGTCTACAGACTAGTCTGGTTCAAATATATTTATATGTATTTTTATGTGCTTAACAAATTTACTTAGTGCATTAAGTTAGAATTAATTAGTAAATTTTTGAGAATCATAAGATTTTGTAAAATTTTTTTAATAAAATTTTACAAAATCTTATGATTCTCAAAACTTTACTAATTAATTCTAAATTGATATACTAGCTAAATTTGTTCAGCACTTAAAAATACATTAAATCAGTAGAGTTATTTTTATTTTACTTGAAATTTAAAGCGAAGATGCTTAATTTTAATTTTTTGATCAAAAATCCAAAATTAAGCATCTTATTCCCAAATTTCAAGTAAAATAAAAATAACACCACCGTTTTAATGTATTTTTAGGTGCTGAACAAATTTAGTTAGTATATAAAGTTAGAATTAATTAGTAAAGCTTTGAAAATCATAAGATTTTGTAAAATTTTATTAATAAAAGTTTACAAAATCTTATGATTCTCAAAATGTTACTAATTAATTCTAACTTTATATACTAATTAAATTTGTTCAGCACCTAAAAATACATTAAACTGGCAAAGTTATTTTTATTGTACTTGAAATCTAGAGCGAGGATGCTTAATTTTTGATTTTTTGATCAAAAATCCAAAATTAAGCATCTTCGCTCCAAATTTCAAGTAGAATAAAAATAACTCTGCCAATTTAATGTATTTTTAGATTCTGAACAAATTTAAATAGTAAATGAAGTTAGAATTAATTAGTAAATTTTGAGAATAATAAATTTTTGTAAACTTTTATTAATAAAATTTTACAAAATCTTATTATTCTCAAAACTTTACTAATTAATTCTAACTTTATGTACTAACTAAATTTGTTCAGCACCTAAAGATACATTAAAACAGTGGTGTTATTTTTATTTTACTTAAAATTTGGGAATAAGATGCTTAATTTTGGATTTTTGATCAAAAAATCAAAATTAAGCATCTTCGCTCTAAATTTCAAGTAAAATAAAAATAACTCTACCGATTTAATGTATTTTTAGGTGCTGAACAAATTTAGCTAGTATATCAATTTAGAATTAATTAGTAAAGTTTTGAGAATCATAAGATTTTGTAAAATTTTATTAATAAAATTTTACAAAATCTTATGATTCTCAAAAATTTACTAATTAATTATAACTTTATGTACTAACTAAATTTGTTCAGTACCTAAAAATACATTAAACTGGCAGAGTTATTTTTATTTTACTTGAAATTTGGAGTGAGGATGCTTAATTTTGATTTTTGATCAAAAAATCAAAATTAAACATCTTCACTCTAAATTTCAAGTAAAATAAAAATAACTCAGCCGATTTAATGTATTTTTAGGTGCTGAACAAATTTAGTTAGTACATAAAGTTATAATTCATTAGAAAAATCTTGAGAATTATAAGATTTTGCAAAATTCTATTAATAAAATTCTATAAAACTTATAATTCTGAAAAATTTACTAATTAATTCTAATTTCATGCACTAAGTAAATTTGTTCAGCACTAAAAAATACATATAAATATGTTTGAACTTAAACTAGTTTGCAGACTTCGGACTAGACCCGGACCGAACTCACAATTGAGTCTGAGTCTGGTCTGAAGTCTGATATTAGTAAAATTTAGAGTCTGAGTCTGGTCTGATCCCGGACCAGACTCAGACCGGACCAAACCCAGACCGGACCAGACCCAGACCAGACCTAGGAGCACTACTTTATAGTATTTTAGTATTTTAGAAATATTTTCATGAATTCTTGTATAACTTCTCTAACATATAGTGTGTTAATCATTCAATAAATTACAGTGAATATTTAATAAATATATTAAGTAAAAAATTTGTATATTCAAATATTCAATTATTATAATCAATCAAAATAAAATTTCTTCTATAAATTTTATTAAAAAATAAAATATTATCGCAAATATCCACTATGTTGAAAACATGTACAAGCTAAATTTGTACTAATTGTCATACAGGTAAGATCTAAAACCTCTAAAGGGTCTTCTACTGACTCTGCCCATTCCTGATTTTGGCGTAAATAATACTTAATATAAAAAAAGGCTTGCTCAATCTGTATAAATATGATTTAATTAATATTAAATAATAAATAGAAATTATTAAAGTTTTATTACTTACAGGATTGTAATCAGGTGAATAAGGTGGTAAAAATTCCAATTTAACACCTTTTTCTTGACATAAATCATGTAAACGTTGTCCTTTATGTATAATTGCATTGTCTAAAACTAATACACTAAATTGCTCAGGAAATGGGTTCATTTTTGGTAACTATATAATTTATATTTAATATAGATTACTTTATTTATCTATTTATTTTATATATAAATTTAATAAAATTTACTTACTAAAACATTTTCAATAAAATTTTCATAATCTTGAGTATTCATAGAGCCCTCCTGAATACTATATGCTAAAAGACCATTAATACATAATGCACCCTCAATAGTAAATCGTTTTTTTTGAACAAAAAATGTAAATTTTTGTGCACGATGTCCTAAAAAACTCCAACTATAACGACGTGAGAGAGTTCTTCTATCATAAGCTGATTCATCTGAGAAAACTAACTGATTAGCTATATATTGTGACATCCTTATAACAAAATTCCTTCTATCAATTTCATTTCTTTCTTTCGCAAGTTTTGATAACTAATATAAAATTAATTTAAATATGTAATATATATAAAATGTTTACTAAAATTATTTTAAATTATACCTGTTTATGTGTATATCCAAGAATATGTATTGCTTTCCAGATTGTTGAGAGACAAATATTACGATCTAACCAAAGCTTCATTTGTAATTGTAACTCATACAAATACCAATCAGGCTTTTCTTTTAACAAGGTTTCAAGATACTTCAGGTCATTTGTAGTAAATAATTGTGGCCTTCCTATAAGCGCTGGAAGTTCTTCAACACAACCATACTGCTGAAATTGCTTGAGGACCCGACCTACAGAAGATTTACAAACACCTAGGTGTCTAGCGATTGTACGAATTGATAAACTATCTAAGTTTTTTTCGACTATTTGCCAACGAATATATTTTGAAAGTTTTGTCATAACTTATGTTATGTAAATGTAGATCATATATTATATACCAAAAATTGTGTTACAGCTGAAAAACATAATTACCGACACCTGCAAAAAATTTTTAGTAATAATAATTACTGAAAATCCACTAACGATCATCAAAAATTTTATCACGTGTCCCACTATTTTTCAAAACAGCTGTAATACTTTTTAAATTATCAGTTTTTATTTTTTTATTTTTTTTTTATTTTATTTTTTTTTAATCATTTTTTTTGTTTTTTAATCATTTTTTTTTGTCTTTTTTTTTGTTTTTTTAAAATCTTTTTTTATTTTTTAGTCAGTTTTTTTTATTTTTTTATTAGTTCTTTAAATTATTGTTATCGTTTCTTTTAAATTTAGTTTTTTTTTTTAAATTAGTTTTTTAATTATCATTTTTTGTTTTTTTTTATTTATTGTTGTTTTATTTTTAATTTTTTTATTTTTTTTTATTATTTAATTTATTATCGTATTTTTAATAAAAGATAATTAAAATTCAAACTCCGATTCGGCAGAGTTTGAATTTTGTTCATTTTTATGAAAACGTGAAAGACATTAGTCATGTGACCACGGCACTAGGACGGAGTTTAAAAATCTCTACTTAACGGAGTTATTTATTTATAAAATTCTGATCTCAGCTTGTCACTATTTTTAAAATAATATGCCTCGTGAAATACCCTGTCTATGTGGGTACACACGAGTATACACTTTTTGCTTGCTTGCACAAGCAAAAAGTGTGACTTTTTAAAAAATTAGTGACGGACATTCGCGCTTTCATGTAGTGTAGACTAGCTCTTAGGACCCGGCGTTGCCCGGGTTCAAGGCTCTAATATTATTCTAATTCTTAGGCCTTAATTATATTAGCTCTTAGGACCCAGCATTTTCTGGGTTCAAGGTTCTA